ATTTATGGAGTAAGTTATTTATGCTTGTTTCACTGTTTTCACTATTTTTTGGTGTGTTTCACTTTCATTATGTTATGCTGCCAGAGTTCTAGTACTAATATCTCTTCCTTTTCCATTTCTTCCATTCATAGTTCCAGTTTGGAGATATCATTGCTTTCAAAACTAGGTGTGCTGTCGGAAACATGTTTACATACAAGCACTTTGCTGTTTATGTGGGCAACGAAACACTTCCTGGTAAAAAACCTGGGGAGGACATATTTGAACGCCTAAGTAAGTACACAACCTGAAAAATGTAGACAGCCAATTTAAACATTTTCCAATCTCACAGTGAGAGAAACAATAAAACAAATATCAGTTTGAATGAAAGTACTTCATCTTTACTGTACAGTGTATTGAAGGAGCTTTTATCACGATTTGCTCGGACCAGCTCCCCCCACAACCTGGTCGTATTGCACAAAAGTAGAATTAAGAAATCCAGGATAATAGAGCAAGCGCGGCTTGACTTAGCCTGCTCGGCGCATCCTGGCTTAATCGGTTGCACGTTTGCCGAGCCAGGATTAAAAGATGCGGCTATGTCAAGCCAGGTGTAGATAGTTGGGATAAGTGCGTGTTCACGGCATACTGAACTAGACCTCGCGATCGCTCACAGAATCACTGACAGGAACATGGATAAGAGTCGCGCTTCATATTTCACGGCCGCTGAAAAACAGCTCCTGATGGAGTTCTATGAAGAGGTGAAAGATATAAGAAAAAAAGGCAATACCAATACCATAATTAAAGAAAGAGAGAAAGCCTGGCAGACAATAGCGGACCGGCTTAATGCTTAAGTAGTCCAAAACTATACAATTAATAAACGGTGCTCCACTGGAACTGTCATAATTAGGCTCCAATTAAAGGTCTAAAGGAGTTACTTTAAGTCCACTAATCAACTGTTGTACACTTTGCTTTAAATGTGGCAAGTACAGGTGCATGTTCGCTCAGGAAATGTAGAGTATGATTAAGTCAAACAATTCATAGAAGAATTCATAGAAGAACAAACTTGTCTGGCCATAAAAAGACCCGGCAGCAAGTTACATTAAAAATGTTAAAACAGTTAAATACAACAACATTTAGCAGGCTGGAAAGTGACTTTAAAGTAGATAACAGTGAACAAATGAGCTGAATAGATTAGGTGTCTGCTGACATGTTGAATGTCTGTATGATTGTAGCAGTTAAAAAAAAGCCCACAGAACTGGCACAGGAAGCGGCCCACCAAGCCAGGATATGTGCGGCAAATGGTTCCTTTATTGAGGTTCTCTGCATCCCCAACAGAATAAAGGAAGCTCCCACTTGCAAAACATCTCAATGTACCACAGACCAGTGAGAGCATGGCTTCCTGCCGTCTGGTGCTGTATTTTTGGATCCAGCAGCCTACATAAATATCTTAGTCCATCACCTGAGAATCTGTATCTCTCAATGAGATAGTCATCTCCAACGGCCAATGGGTCTGACCTGTCCCGGAAGACTCTTTCATGCCTAAATGCTTGCCTGAGGATTAGGGCTTCCTCATCGAGTACATCCTCCAAGAAAGGGCAAGCCATTATGAAGAGGGAACAGCTGAATGGGAGTTAGATAGATAGATAGATAGATAGATAGATAGATAGATAGATAGATAGATAGATAGATAGATAGATAGATAGATAGATAGATAGATAGATAGATAGATAGATAGATTGATAGATAGATAGATTTTCCTTTATTTGTCCCACAATTGGGAAATTCCAATGTAACAGCAACAAAGTGCATAGAGAGAAAACAGTATAAATAAACAGTAAGAGTAGGGAAATAATAAAAAACACTATGCACTAGATGTATATATATACACATATATATGTATATATATTGCCCTTGTCACAGATTTCATTGAAAATAAAACACATATTTATGAAACCTCTGACAGCATTTTGACAAGCAGTCTTAATTAGCATATCAATATAACACCTGTCCTGAGTAATAATACTACCACTTGAATCAATATAAAAAGACTGTTGCAATTACAAACAGCCAACAGATTTAAATGAAATGAGAAATGACAATATATATGTAATATTTTAATGCAGGATAATTAAAATGATGCAACATACTTAGAAAGACCATGGGCATGCTGTAAAACACATTAATTCCTCACAGGACTGACGGTGGAAATACAGGTGAATCACTAGGATTAATCTTAGCCTGGCTGTTAGTCTGGTCTGGAGCAGGCTAACTGCAGAGAATAAATCACCATAGTAACTTAGCTGGGATAAGTTTATCCTGCTTTCATGCAACCGACTTGAGGCTAAATTCAGACACGATAACCAACATATCCCGGCTTAATCCCTTATCTTGGTTTTGTGCAATAGCCCTCTGTTGGAATAATGAGGGGATATTCATTCACTTAAACACTGACTGAGAAACACTTGTGCAGATTAGCAGGAGTTTAGCATGTTTGTGTTTTAGCCTGACAGTCCAGAAACCTTTGCTGTTTGAATAAAGTTGCATCTTTGTAGAGCAGGAAAATAATTAAACATTTACTGTAAATGCTCACATACAGTAACATTACCTCTAACAGTTTATTTCCTGGTTATAGAGGGGACTCCTCCCAAGTGTGTTTTCTCTAAACTCGATTGGACGCAGGAGCCTGTGGTGGCCAATTACCTTGATGGATACAAGGATCGCAAGAGAAATAAGCAGTACAACGCAGGAAGTGAGGCTGAAATAATAGGACGGATCAATGAAAAGTTTAAGAACTGTGGAGCGTATTTGATCGCCCACAACAACTGTGAACACCTTGCTACCTATGTGCGTTATGGAGTGAAGGTAGCACTGCAGGTACGTGGCTCATTCAGTGGTCCATTGCCATTTTTGCTCCCAACAGAGTTTAAAACAATAGTGCTGAGCCAAATGATCCGGCTCCCTAAAGACAGCTGGAATTCCCAGAAATGGGGAAACAAATGTAGGCCGTATAAAATCTGCCTACCAGCACCTCGAAACACACTCTTCATCACTGCCATTACTTTCATTTTACTTTTTGAGATAATAATGTATTTACATGTCAGCAATGTCACAATGAACTTAATCACTTTTCTTTTTATTGTAGTTTGAATTGTCTGGTGAAGGCAAGTGCTACAGCGAAATCAGTAAAAATGGGTTACTGAAGTTCTTAAGGGACCAAAAGGTGGAAAGTACATGCCCCGAAGGCCCCAGCACTAGCATGGGATAAGAAGTATTTCAACCCTCTCAGGCTGTCTTGCTCACTTCTGCTCTTTCTTGATGTTATATGATGTGTTATTGCTGTGGTAAAATGTGATGTGGGATGATATCAAAGTTAGAAGGATAAGTAAATTCATTGACATTTAGTTATATAACACGTTTGCTGTATTTATGTCCTATATTTGGCGATATACAAGTATAACTTGGTTGGTCAACGATTATAATATTGTTTCTGATTTGATAAAAATTTAAATTAAACAAGAAACAACAAGATTTAGCCACAGAGAAGAGAGGTGTTAGTCAGGTTCCAGGACCTCATTCACTGTTTGTTGGCATGCTTTGCTTTTTTGTGACTTCAATAAACCTTTATGCATCAGATTCTGCAGGATCTCATTTTTCTGACTTATTATTTATTATTATTATTATTAGAAATGTTTTTAGAGAACTGTCTGCAAGATTTCAAGACCTCTTTCTGATATGAGGTTGGGAACTTTTCCCTGACATAATTTGAAATTTAAAAAAGTTGAGCAAGTGCTCTGGGTGTAAGAAACGGTTATACTGCCTCAAGAAATGAAAACAGAACATTTCAGAATTGCTTGTCCATCAAAACGGTTTTGATTCAGATCAAAAACACGACACAAGAGGTCAGCCTTTCAGAATGAATTGGTGGTAAAAACAGGATGGTAACTTGTTGTCCACATCAGGATCTAATGTGCAGCTACTGTAAGTGTTCATTAAGTATATCACAGAGAATCACTGTACCGAATAACAAGGTGGCAACCAGTGTTTTATGGGTTCAATGTATATGTATGATAAGCTTATGAAATAAATGCAGATTAAACCACTAGATATTAACCTTTTTGGGGTGTGACTGCTTACAAAAAAGTAGTGTCAAATCTTGTCACATATCTTAAATGAGTTGACCCTTGCCTCCAATGTATACTACTGTATTATATACAAATATATAAGTATAAACTATTCAAATGAGGCTGGTTTAGGTAAAGAATATTCTATAATAACGATACATCAACCATCAATCAGTTTCTGTCCAGTGTAACTATGAATTCTTTAATCCTATCAAGACTAAACGACCAATGCAGCTCAATTGCAATTCCCTAGCAAGGTTCAAATTACACTATCAGACAGCAACGACTGTGACATTTGCAGGAAGATACTTCCATCTAGTGGCCAAACCCACCATCACCTACAAGTTGGATAAGTTGTAAGCTGCCAGGTCACATTGGCAATGCTGCAGCCCTGCATGTTCCTAAAGTGCTTAACTGGACAGAATTGTTAACAATATGAAACAAGCACGTCTCAGAATAAAAGTTGCAAGAAAATTGACAGTGAAGTTGGATCTCCTCTAATGTAGCCAGGGGTCAGAATTAGAAGACTAGAAAAAACCATGACAGAAAACATACTGTATGTCATCTCAAAACACAATATAAGTATATATGATGAGTGACCAAACTCAAATGCACTTAAGCATTCAGTTTATTACTTTAGTCTATAACTTTAAACCTGGAACGGGAAATATTAATGTCAATTAGCAATACTAATAACTCATCAACCGCGGTCTTCTTTATTAATACATATTCATCACACACATATATTGAGCACATATATTCATCAGATCATTTGGGTATCCTTTGGTTAGTTTGTTTTTCATTCTAGGAAGGATAAATCGTGCAGCAGTGGGTCTGAAGGGATCTGATCCATCCATCTACTCCTTTAATGGTGGCAGTGGAACAACATAACGGCGGAACACCTTTTTATCTTTTCTCTTTATTCTTTACAGTAACTTTATTTGACCTTATTACACAAAGAAGGAACAATAATACATATTAAACAATACAAACACCTAAATTACTGTAAACAACACGAAACAACAAGAATACAATAATAAGTATCAATAGATAAATAGTAAATACAATCAGATAAAAGAGGTTTCCACTTAAAATGGAACAGGTTATAGGATGGCTAGAATCAAAAAAACGTTCTCTTTTCTTAAGTCTCACCTCACAAACCAATTTTTTATTTTATTTTTTTATTTTACTGTCAATGCTGTTATGATTTTATCCAAATATTCTATACTTACTTTTTATGCCCGTGTTGACTGTTTTATTTATTTTCTTTCAAAAGCACTTTTGTGAGCGTTAAACGTGCTCCTGCCCCAAGAAATTTAACAGTAACTAAAATGATTATTAGTAATAAGTAATAATTTATACTTGAATTGCCATGAATTGCCTCTCTGTGTGGAACTGAACTTTTCCCTCTGTCCTGAAGAGGGGACAAAGAAGTAAACTTTTCATTTGGCCATGTGGAAAAACACTAACGCACTGCGCCTTGCACATAAAACTGAATATTATAATTAACGCTTGTTAGGATGCTCTGTCTTACTATTGTTCAGGAAATACATTCAATAGAAAAGTTGACCTATCCTTTGAGATTTAAAAGGAAAGATTTCAGACATTATACATCAACTGTGTGCTTAATGAATTAAGACATTACGTGCTAGGGCAGAAAGATGTAAACGTTCCCCTAACCCTCCTTTCTATAGAAGCAAGAGACCCCAGAAGAAGTTGAAGACATATAACATTTTCATTCTATCAGAACCAACCTGAACCTGACTGATGAGGGCAGTTCTGGGCCCAAACACAGCAGTTCTTAACAAAAAGACACAAACGAATCATTCAAAAGCCTAAACCCACATCCAGGATAAAGAGGTTCAGTGAATGTGGTGTTGAAGGTGTGGAGGTGGATCAGTGTGTCAGAGGAGACTCTGTAGAAGGACAGAGTTCCAGCAGGATAGTCCAGATACACTGCTACTCTACCAGAGGAGGAGGAGGTGGAGGAGATGGAGATCACTCTCTTATTGTGAGAGATACAGTAACCACTAACAACAGAGCACTCAAGATTCCAGGACTGATTATTCCCTCCAAGCCTAAAGACAGCACTGTTTCCACTCCTGCTGATTCCTCTGTAACTCACTGATATGAAAACCTCGCCACTCCACTCGACCTCCCAGTAACAGCGACCAGTCAGACCATTTGTACACAGCAGCTGAGGCCAGCGGTCAAATCTGTCTGGATGATCAGGATATGACTGATCCTCCTCCACATAAATCACCTTCCTGTTGTTGTCAGAAAGTTTGATCTTTCTGTTCACTGTGTTTGTGTCGACTGTGAGTTCACAGGAATCTGATGGAGAGAACAAGACACAATACAGCTGCAGTTATTGATCTATCATCTGATCATTGATTGACATTTTGATGATGACATCAGAGCTGTGAATGAGTGATGTCACAGTGTGAAGATGGTTTAATGTGTGCTGCTTATTTTTCACACTTACACTTCATCAGACCTGGTCTCAACCATCGGACTCCAGCAGGCTCCACCCTGAAAGGAGGAGGGGGGTCAGACCAGCACATCCTCTTTCAGCATGCAAACATTACATCACTGTCATACACAGTTTTCTTTTTCTGTTCAAATGTACTTAAATGGTCCAATATATCACTTATCATATCCTTTAATAGTTGAGTAAACTGTTAGTTGACTAGCTAATCTACACCGTTTTCATTCATTGGATATGTGCAGAAAAACAAAAACGGCATCAAACTGGAGCTGTGCTTTGTCACTGGGATTGTTGTAACACAGACCTTTTCTCTCTCTGCTTACTGTACTAGGTGGTTAGAGGTCCTATTAGCTGACTGTACCTGAAATGCAGGCTCAAGATACCGGGGTAGGTTTGTTTACACTGCAAGCACAGGAATAAGGGGGCGAAATGAGAACCAGACCCAGAGTGGGGCAAATGGACCAACACAGTGACCCCAGGTTACAACACTGATGGCAGTGGAGAAAGCCTCGAGATAGTTCTGGATTAGGAGAAGAGGTTAATAAGGAGGAGCAAATGCCACCTGAACACTAGTTGTGGTATGAACAACTACAGTTGGGTCCCCTGGTGAAGGATGTCTGATTTTGAAAGATGTGTGTGGAGGGAAGAGGAGTGCCACAACGTAGTTTACCTGGTGAGACAGAGGAGGAGTCAGAGCCCGAAGCCTCCAAGTGGCGCAACTAACTCCTCAAAAACCCTCCGGTTCAAGTCAAATGGCCACAGGCCAGCAAGACGAGGGTCTGGCTTCAGTTCAACAAAGATGCTGACAAGGTGCTCAAAGTAAAAACGACGGGGGGTGTGGATTGTGGGCTGCAGACAATTACAAAAATCATTGTCAGTCTAGCTGTGGAAAGATTTGGAGCAGAGGAGAAGAAGCCTCCCAGATCCGGCAGGAGCTGAGTACCTCAAAAGGCAGTATAAAGCCACTGGTGATGAGCAGCATCCCCCCCTTAGCAGAGTGGCAAACCATTCTGAGGAAGAAGTTGCTGACCCTCTGTCAAGCTAATTGTCACAGAAGGTTCAAGGTTCAATCTTAATTGTCCCTTGAGGTGTAATATGATTTAAAGTAGAGGGCTAAAACAAAAAACAATCAACCGTTCGGGACCTGTGGCCCTTTGCTGCTGTCACTACGGATTGAAGGCAATAAAAGCCCCCAAAAAATGTAATTAAAAAAATTAAAAAAGAGAAGGAGATCAACCTGAAAGTCATATGGAGGAGAGCTGCACAGCACTGGTGATTTGCGGAAGGAATCTAGATCCCAAAGGAAGAAGATTCCACCAATTTAGAATCAACTCCCTGTTAAACATTTTCTTCAGCATTGTGGCAAGGCGGCTGATCAAAGTCCTCTCCAACAATGTCTACATCGACTCTTTATTGCAAAAGGAGTGCTGGGATGTCTAGAGCACACAGGAGTGGTGACACAACTCATTAGAGAAGCCCAAGTGAACAAGGGAGACCTGACACTGCTCTGGCTCAACCTGGCCAACACCCACAGATCCATCCCACATAAGCTTATTCAGACGAGCACCATGACCAGACCTCATTCTTGACTACTGTTACGAGTCTGCGCTCCTTCCCCCTAGACAGGGGCGTAACACTACTACAACTAGTTCAGCATGAGAGTTTCAGCATTGTAGCACAGGCTGGAGGCTGGGATCATTACAGGCTGTACCATCACTGTAATCATATTTCCCTTGGCAACTCACAGGATCATCAAGTCTGCAGAACCAGAGTTCTTGGGCCTATGGACCAAATCAGGGATGCGACCTGGCAATCACCAAAGAGTCAGGGCTAGGAAGCAGGTGGATCCTGCAAAGGTTGGAGAAACTGGCTGGGCAAGGATGAAGTTCAAGCCAGGAAAATCAAAGTTACTAGTGCTGAAGAAGGGCAAAGTCATGGACAGATTCCGCTTCAGCATTGAAGGGGCACCAAACCCAACTGTACCCAAGAAGCCAGTGAAGAGTCTTGGCAAGGAATTCAACAGCAGGCTGAATGATACAGTGTCAGTCTACGCAACCTGTCAAGAGCTGGAGAACTGGTTGAGAGCAGTGGACTAGTCAGGGCTTCCTGGGAAGTTTAAGGCATGGATCTACCAGCACGGTATCCTGCTGAAGATACTCTGTCCAATGGTTGTTTATGACGTTCCCATCTCCATCATACTGAGCCTTGAGAGGAAAGTCAGCAGATTCCTCAGGAGGTGGTGGTGGCAGAATCTGAGCAGCACCACCGTCTACAGCAATAACACAAAGCTCCAGCTGCCCCTGAAGTCCCTGGAGGAGGTGTTTAAATTAACCTAGGCCAGAGAGGTGATGCTTTACAAGGCATCCAGTGACCCCAAGATGGCTGAGGCGAGGGTGGAGGTGAGAATGGGGAACTAGAGGAAGAGTGGTTCTGGGTATCTTCCCAACTCCCCAGTACAACAGGCTGATCCAGGAGGGAGTAAGGGCAGCAGTGGAGGAAGAGAGGTCCAGCAGAGCAGTCAGCATAAGATGGCAGGGGGCCTGGACCACGGAACAGTGAGTCACATGGACTGATCCCTGGCAAGCCTCAGCACACACAAGTTCCTGATTCCCTAGTCCATCAAACCTCTTTAGCAAAAAAAATCAGCAAAGTTGAATCCATGGATTGCGGAATTTACGGATTGCCCGCAAAGTTCAGGCAAGCGAACATTAGAGCACATCCTCCGCTGCTGCCCAAAGGCTCTTGGTTCAGGGCCGGTTCACCTGGTGCCACAATCAGGTTTCTAAACTGTTTTTTGCAGAAACCATCAGCATGGGAATCAGCAATGGCAGACCAGGACACCCCACCATCCAGACAATTACCTTTGGAAAGACTGGAGTATAGTTGCCAAGGTCCACAGCAGTGAATATCTCATCAGAAATCCTGGCAATCTCCACGAGGCCAGACATCCTCTTGGTCTCAGAGGCAACAAAGAACATTGTTATAATGGAGCTGATTGTGCCGTGGGAGGGGCGTATGGAGGAGGCCCATGAGAGGAAGAAAACGAATGCTGGAAGGCAAGGTGCATGCAGAGGTTTTGCAGGGCAATCACTCCACAAAGCCTGAATAAAACCGGGCATCACCAGAAAGGAGAGAATAAGAGACATGATCAAAATCAAAGAAGCCGTGGAAAAAGCCTCAAGATAGCTCTGGATTATGAGAAGAGGTTCATGGGGAGGAGCAAATGCCACCTGAATACCAGTCGTGGTCTGAATGACTATGGCTGGGTCCCCTGGTCGAGGGTGTCTAATGTCGAAAGACCCACAACAACCAATGACCCCAGGTTACATATCTGATGAAGTGTTCAGGAGCATCAAGATATGTATTCTATCAATGGGTGACTGTTATTGCTTCACTTGCTGTGATGCATTTAATCTACCTCTCTGGACTACTAACAAGTTATTTCCTCTTACGAAAGTGCACATTTTGGCAATTAGCTGACCATTAGCCATAGTCTTTGTGTTGTGTTCATCAAAAACACTAACAGTTTGATCAGTCAGTCTGTGATTACAGCAGGCCTCTTCCTACCTGAGAGTGTCCAGTCTCAACTGTGGATCCTCCAGTGCAGCAGACAGTATCTTTACTCCTGAGTCTCCTGGATGATTGTAGCTCAGGTCCAGCTCTCTCAGATGGGAGGGGTTGGAGCTCAGAGCTGAGGCCAGAGAAGCACAGCCTTCCTCTGTGATCAGACAGCCTGACAGCCTGCAAACATCGAGTCAAATAGGGGTGATACGGATATTATTCTGAAAAATTGGATTGGTGTATATAAATATATATTCTGTATTAGTGTAGACAAATGCAAGAAGCTGCTGGCGGAATCACAGAGTTGCAGAAATGTGAGTACGCTGCCAGGTAGTAATTTTTGAGTCTATAAGGTAACAATAATATAGTAATAAGATAACATTGTTGACTTGAGAAATGGGTGACTTAAAGAAAATTTTGGTTTTGTCTATACTATACTAGGTACTTGTACTATATTAACTGGGTTAAATATAATTGCATAACTAAAAAGAGACTAAAATACAATTTTCATTGACTAAAACTAGACTAAAATGTCCTTGGTTATCGTCGACTAAAACTAGACGAAAATAGTTATGGATAATTCTGACTAAAATAAGACTGAAATGCTCAGACCTTTAGTCGACTGAAACTTGATTAGACTAAAAAGAGCATAAATGTGACTAAAACTCATAAAAACTAAAATGACAGTTTGACAAAATGACTAGACTAAAACTAAAACTAAAACAGGCCGCCAAAAACAACACTAATTGTTATCCAACCATAACAAACTTAAATAAGTGTTTGTGAAATCAGTGAAAGTTGGAGAATGAAGGGAAATTAATGGTGTTTATTTTTTAGCAGACTGCTCCATTCTCTTTGAAATGTGACTTCACAGTGGCATAGAAAATGTTAATGAATCCGGACCTGAGAGTTTCCAGTGTACATTGTAGACTCTCCAGTCCAGCAGACAGAAGCTTCACTCCTGAATCCTGCAGGTTGTTGTTACTCAGGTCCAGCTCTCTCAGACTAGAGGACTGGGAGCTGAGAACTGAGGACAGAGCTTCACAGCTTCTCTCTGAGAGGTTACAGCCACTCAGTCTGGAGAGACAATAATGAACAAGACAAACTTTTATGTTAAAAATGTAGAGATGTCGTGAACTGATCATCAGGATTGATATCTGGATATATTTTAATTGACCAATAAATATAGAGCTGATCCTCAGTGATCAGACAGCCTGAAAACACACAAAAGAAGTCAGAAAAGAGGGATAGGGATATTATTCTGAAAAATTACTTCAGACAACTGTCTGAAGCTGCCCCCCAAAAACTGCTGACAGTATTGGGAAAGAAAAAATGGTATGGGAACATCTCCAGCATTTACTTTGATCTTAGCCTCACTATTGCCAAATAGGCACGTTTTCTTTTCACTTTGACAACGAATCATTTGCCCTTGTCTTGTCAACTCTCCTTACTCTCGTCACACAATTAGTGAGTTCTGCTACTCTGTGCTGCGACTTGGTGGTACCAAGCAGACACGTTCCTAATTGTATGTCCTGTTGTGTGTCCATCATCTAACTGAGGCATAACACAGTGTAACACAGGTAACAGCAACTACTGTGGCAAGCCTACTCCCACCTAGACTTTTGCAAATCTCTTCTCACCAAAGCCCCTATGACTGAAACCACACCTTGGCAGATGCTGTGGATTGCTGGTCTAACATTTCCAGCAGGATAGTGAAATTAACTGATCCATCCTACCTCTGTGGTCATGGTCAAACCATTGACAGTGTATATAATGGACAGAGCTTCCGTGTCTGTGAAGTGAAGCCGATACGGAAGTGTCTTCAATCTGCGTTCTATGGAATGGCCAGCAGAGGGAGCTCCAATGTCTGCAATAAAACTCAGATACCATGCAGTCTTATGGAGAAATGAGCCGCCTTCTGACAACATTTCTGAGCTCATTAAACAGTTTCCTGATGAGTTTCTGGTCTCAGTCTCTAGTTTCATTCTTCTTCCATACAGCATGATGTTCATTAAGTAACTGATGGTCCCATTTAGCGTAAAACACACCACAAAGCAGGGTATGCTTTAGGGCGGGGCTACCTTGCGATTGACAGCTCATTCTCAGTGAGTTAGCCTCTGGACAACAGGCTACATTGTCACTCCAATGACAGTCAGGACAGCAAAGCCCCTGCTTATGTTCAGCCAGGGGCTGAAAACCACTATTTCACTCACACCTTAAGGCTGCTCAATTAATCAAAATTTGATCATGATTACGATTTTGGGGCCAAACTATCTCAAAACTAATAAAATCGGATGAAACATTTTTTTATTTTCTGTTGTGCAACGTTAAAAAGCTGAGCCCCTGGATTGGGACACAGCCACAGTCTGCGTATTTCGCGCATGCGTATTTCCGTCCCTCCCCCCGCAGCAAGCACTGCAAATAATGCGCTCGGTATACTCGCCGTTCCCGACCTGTCGCGCGACAATGTGAAGTCACAGGAGCGCCGTAACTATTTATACTTGCGCCGGTGGTCACGACACTAGTTACAGTCTTCTCCTGTCACGTTGTTTTCATTTGAACAGGTAACGCGGAGACTTACAAATGTTTATGGGGAAAGGAAAGTGTAACTGAGGACTTTCTTGCAAAGTGTTTTTGACAAATGTCCAATAAATGCAGCATGTTTCTGACGTTTAAAAAAAAATAATCGTTTGAATAATCATGATTTCAATTTTGACCCAAATAATCGTGATTATGATTTTATCTATAATCGAGCAGCCCTATCACACCTTCCCCTATATGGTTCTACTTCTTAAAAAAAACCAACAACTCTAAGCTGTTGCACTATAGAACTAAAGGGTTGTCGGACTAAAGGGTCTGCCAAATTAATGTAATGCATTCCAAATTATCTCAATCCATTTCAGACAAAGTGTAACACGATCCTACCTGAGAGCTCCCAGTTTGCAGTGTGGATTCTCTAATCCAACTAAGAGAAGCTTCACTCCTGAATCCTGCAGGTTGTTGTTACTCAGGTCCAGCTCTCTCAGACTAGATGACTGGGAGCTGAGAACTGAGGACAGAGCTTCACAGCTTCTCTCTGAGAGGTTACAGCCACTCAGTCTGGAGAGACAATAATGAGAAAATGAACAAGAAGGTTATATTTTTCTATTCTGTTGGAACCATTGCAGTGCATTGAACTAATGATGAATAACTCTGTCTGTACTTACAGAGCTTTGTTGGAGGCTTTGACCACTGGCAGCAGCCTCAGAAAAGCCTCCTCTGAAGCAAAGTATTTCTTCAGGTCAAACAAGTCCAGATCTTTTTCTGATGACAGTAAGATGAAGATCAGAGCTGACCACTGAGCAGGAGTCAGTTTATCTGTGGAGAAATGTCCTGAACTAAGGTATCGTTGGATCTTCTCAAATAGAGAACAATCCTTCAATTCATTCAAGCAGTGGAACAGATTTATGCTTCTCTCTGGAGACAGATCTGCCTCAACCTTCTTCTTGATGTACCAGACTGTTTCCTGGTTGTTTTTTGAGCTATTTCCTGTCTGTGGCAGCAGACCTCGTAGGAGAGACTGATTGGTCTGAAGTGTCAGTCCCAGGAAGAAGCGAAGGAACAAGTCCAGGTATCCATTTGGACTCTGTAAGGCCTTGTCCACAGCACTCTGGTAGAACTGTGTCTCTGCAGATTCATCTTTTCTTGTTTCAGACTTCTGGGAGGTTGATTGTTCTTCTGCCAGCAGATTGACTCCAGAGTTGATGAATGTCAGATGGACATGAAGAGCAGCCAGAAACTCCTGAACACTCAGATGGATGAAGCAAAAGACCTTGTCCTGGTACAGTCCTCTCTCCTCTATAAAGATCTGTGTGAACACTCCTGAGTATACTGAGGCTGCTCTGATATCGATGCCACAATCTTTCAGGTCTGATTCATAGAAGATCAGGTTGCCTTTCTGCAGCTCCTCAAAAGCCAGTTTTCCCAGAGACTCAATCATCTTCCTTGTCTCTGGACTCCAGTGTGGATCTGTCTCAGCTCCTCCGTCATACTTGATGTTCTTCACTTTGGTCTGAACCACCAGGAAGTGGATGTACATTTCAGTCAGGGTCTTGGGCAGCTCTCCTCTCTTTCTGGTCTTCAACACATCCTCCAGAACTGTAGCAGTGATCCAGCAGAAGACAGGGATGTGGCACATGATGTGGAGGCTTCGTGATGTCTTGATGTGGGAGGTGATTCTGCTGGCATGCTCCTGATCTCTGAACCTCTTCCTGAAGTACTCCTCCTTCTGTGGGTCAGTGAACCCTCTGACCTCTGTCACCATGTCAACACACGCAGGAGGGATCTGATTGGCTGCTGCAGGTCGTGTGGTTATCCAGAGGCGAGCAGAGGGAAGCAAGTTCCCCCTGATGAGGTTTGTCAGCAGCACATCCACTGAGGTGGACTCTGTAACATCAGTCAGGATCTCAGTGTTGTGGAAGTCCAGAGGAAGTCGACACTCATCCAGACCATCAAAGATGAACACAACCTGGAACTCTTCAAACCTGCAGATTCCTGCTTCTTTGGTTTCAGTAAAGAAGAGATGAACAAGTTCCACCAAACTGAACTTCTTGTCTTTCAGCACATTCAGCTCTCTGAAAGTGAATGGAAATGTGAACTGTATGTCCTGGTTGGCTTTGTCTTCAGCCCAGTCCAGAGTGAACTTCTGTGTTAAGACTGTTTTCCCAATGCCAGCCACTCCCTTTGTTATCACTGTTCTGATTGGTCGATCTCTTGCAGGTGAGGGTTTAAAGATGTCTTCTTGTCTGATTGTTGTTTCTGGTCTGTCTGGTTTCCTGAATGCTGTTTCAATCTGTCTGACCTCATGTTCATCATTGACCTCTGCAGTGCCTCCCTCTGTGATGTAGAGCTCTGTGTAGATCTGGTTCAGAAAGGTTGGGTTTCCTGCTTTAGCAATCCCCTCAAACACACACTGGAACTTCTCCTTCAGGTTGGATTTAAGTTTACGGTAACAATCAGACTCACTTCCTGAATGAACATCAAATAAGATCATTAAGTGACATTAGTGGATTTACAAACATATTCTTCACCATCTGTTGAGACGTCAGTAAATGTCTCATTTATCTAGCGAGTTAAATCTTTAGAGAAATCCTCTTACTGCTCTGCAGACGGTCAGCCAGCTCCTCCTGCTTCATTCTCCTCAGGAAGTGCACTGTGATCTTCAGAAATGCCTCTCTGCTGCTCTTCCTCTGTTCTTCATCCTCACCGTCCAACACCTCCTCATTCTGCCTCTGACTCTCTGAGCATTCTTGGTAATCTGAACTCAGACCCTTCTGGATCTTCCTCAGCTCGTTCTTCACAAAAGTGACAATGTTGTCCTCCAGCAGCTGGAACAGAATATTATATGAATGACTCAATCAAAGTCAAATCATGGAAGCAAACATCAGATCCATGTTGGACAGACTGACAATCCACTGGTCTAAAAAGTGCAGCATTGAGATTATTGTGAACACAATAGATGTAAAAGTAGTTGTTGTCCATGTACAGACCATAAATATGGAGTCCAGGTCTGTTTGTTGCTGCTGGGCAGACTCACCACTGGGAACCTCTGAGCTTTCCTGGTCCACTCTGTGGAGGAATCATGAAGAATTAGCTCACATTATGTCTGTCCACACAGAGACAAACACAAGCTTAAGCTTAAGGAAGAACCCAGATGATTGACCCACTGCCCTTGTTGACCCAATATAATACTGTGGACAGTGCCACACAGTCTAGTAGTAATTGGAAGGAAATTAGTACGTAGCTGTGAAACACAAAGAAGACCAAACAGAGACAGATATTCTTCTTCTCGGACCAAATCAAAGCTAAAAGCACCACTAAATATTGCCCCAAACCAGGGTTCAAAGAAAGAACTAAGGCAATTAAACCAAACCAGGAATAAGTTCACGATGCAGTAGAATAGTCAAAGGCTGTGTGTGTGTTTGCTGCCTCAGAAATAAAAAGTTTATGGAACGTTAACATTCCTACGGTGTCTTCTTGTTCACAGCTGAGTGTCTCCACACTGAGGACAGATATTTAGCCATCAGCAGATAAACTGGAGGTAAAACGTTTCAGAAACCACACGCGATCAGATGATTGATCTCTTATGATTACTAACTATCAATTGCTCTCTTTCCACAGCGATGTTGTGCTCTTGTGCTCAGCTAGTTTCCAACACACACTGTACAGAGTTTGCATTTTGTTTTCTGATTGAAATGGTCACAAACTTTGGACACTTCCTGTCTCTTATCTTACCCCCTCGTTATTTTCTCTCTCCAAAGCGTGTTGTGTGACAGTGATAATCTGTGCAACACACACAGTGCGCTGTATGGCTGTATGTACTTGTATGAATTACATGAAGCTTCGATGCAAAGGACTTTAGTCATCCAGTTCATAAAAAGGAATCATTTAAGCATCACAACATCTTACTTTTTGTCACATGAATGTCTTTCTTTAAAGTCAGTGAAGATGTCTTTTGAACAGTCGCTCTTGAAGGACACACAGCTGGGTCCAGGTTCAGGTCCAGGTTCAGGTCCAGGTCCAGGTCCCCACTGAGTCATTTTAGAGGGAGGGGCTCCCTCCTCTCTGTCCTCACACTGACTCATGCTGCTGAACTCACATCCACATCAGCTCACACACACTTTGATCTGGAGAGGAAACACAAATCATTCATGTGCACATCAACTGAAATCATCCTTTCCATCATTTCTGCTGTAAGAAGACCAGCTGCTCCTCCAGTGATTGGCTCTTATTTTCTTTCATATCAGTGTCAGTTGAATGCAGTCAGACAGCAGTGTGAGGCAGAGGAAGCTGCCATCAGCTGCTGGACTTCTACTATCAGTCCACTAGATGGCGGCATGAAGCTGCAGCCAGTGGAGGAAAGTAACTAAGTACATTTACTCAACTACTGTACTTTATTACAATGCCTATTTCCACTGTATGCTACTTTATACTGGAGTTACTGTGCAGATGGAGCTTATGAATCCAACATAGAATCAATAGTCAAATGATGATGTATTATTCTAGATGAAGTTATCCAGCAGTATATAAAGTCATTCATGTTGCTGCGTTTATTCTATGTGAACCTGTGTGAGCCCCGTTAACCACTAATGTGACAAAAAAGTTTTTCTGATGTTCATTTCTAATGGAATCATCCTGCTGTTCACTTTGGCACCAGCAGATGGCGCCACATGATTTCTAAAGACAAGTGGAGGAAGATGAAAACAAAGAGCAGTGAACTTCATGTGTGTGTAACTCAGGCAGCAAAATGCGCCTTCAGTCATCAGTAAGTGCTGTTACAAAGAAAGAAAGCACACTGTTCAACTACTGAGCATCAACTGACTCTACTTAGACTATTTTACTGTACACTCACTAACAGACACAAAATGGGGGACAGATATTGGCCTGTATTTAATAACGGTTGTTTGAGCTGCTTTGTTCCGAAATTCCAGCAGAGAAATGAACAGTGGAGGCAGATTGTTGCTGTTTCTAGTGGAAATAAACGCCAGCTTGTGTTAACGAGGAAAACATTAAAAACTTGTTCCATTACCTTCAGCTCGAGAGACGCCAAAAACCAACTGCGACACTCCTTCAGAGAAAGTGAAAGTAAACTTTAAACAGGAAGTAGGAAGCAGTGTTGTAGTTCTGCAGCAGGCTCTGTGTAACTCTTCAATCTCCATAGAAACAATATGAATGATTGAAGAAATGATTTTAACTGATTAAAACCATCAGTGCTCTTTGTGTCAGATGATGAAATAAAGCTCAGTCCTCACATTAATAAACACATATGAATATTATATATTATATTATATATTCAGAATATAAAACGAGCTGTGCACACTGAGACACAGCTCCAGGAGAAAGAGGCAGAAATATGACAGAAAACATGTAAAATATAAATTAAATTATTAAATATATGATAAATAAATAAGTAAATGCTTTGACCCCAAATGTTCCCACCTGTGTGTGTCCAGTAAACAGTCAGTCCTGTGGAGAGCAGCAACAGGTTGTGCAACCAACAGTCCAATGAGCAACACATCACAGCAACATCATCACAGCAACATCACTAATAATTAAATAAAGTCCTAATTAGGACGACAACTAATGATGATATATTACTGCAATAAAAGTACTAATACTTAAATAAAGTACTAATACTTGAATAAAGTAGTAATAATAAAGTAGTGATAATGAAATAAAGTACTCAGTTACAAGTGAAATGCTCCCGTACTTCTTCTTCCTTCAGGATGTGAAAATGAAAAAAGAGTATATATATAACAACAACACTACAATACATCTGTGGTTTATTAAGAGGATTCAGGGTTATTTGATTGTCAATTTCAACACAAAGGATGTATTTATAATTCAGATATAGTTCCCTTTATGTTACTTTCAAATAAATTACTCTTTTTCCATTTGGAGGTCGAGAGGAAGGAGAGAGAGTGGAGGGAAATAACACAAAGAACTGGAGTTTATTGAGAGATATATGGTCAGTCAGAGGCTGAACGGCCACACAAACACAAACAAACAAACAAACAAACAAACACACACAGGGTCGCTGCATATGCTAACATCTGTACAGTTGGTGACTATAAACAAACAAACAATCGGTCAAACTCCAGTTACATGAGGTGAAAATGAGCTTGTTGTGAGAAGGAAGATGGCGTTTTTTAACAGTTGTTGTTGTTGTTGTTGTTGTTGATGAGCATTCAGCGAACAGACAGTGAGAATGAAGCTGCTGCTGATTATTGGCTGATTGATTGATTGATTGATTGATTGATTGTGTATCTGACAGAAACAGAGTTGGAAAGTGGAGTTTGTCTTTAATCTTGAGACAGTTCACAGGATACAACAAATGTCACAATATCTGTTTGGTTTTGTTATTTAACAGCTGTTTTTTATGTGATACAATTGGTCACAAAGTCTGACTATTATTCCAATAATTGTACAGATTGCAGACCCCGATGTCACCTTCAGGAACACAAATCCAAACAGTAATTTAGTGTTTCCTATAAACACTAAATGGTGACCTTCAATGTCAAATGAATTCTCTGTTGTCTGTTACTGAAGTTGGAGCTGTATTTTACTGAAGATGGTTATTTGATTATCCAGTAACATTATTCACATTTTAATGGATTCTTCTTTGAGTTTTAAAGAGTAACATTTTTCCCTCTTTGAACATTTGTTGCTGTGGTTGGAAATTATTTCATCAGAAAATGATCATATGTTTTAGATAATTCAAAATGAAATGAAATGAATAATAAGATAATGTATGAGTGCTGTGCAAATATCCAGTTTTTTTCAAACAAGGTTGGTTTGAATGTTTGCACCATTGCTTAGAATAAATAATTAGGTTCATAAATAGAGAGTGTACTCTTCTTACACCACTGTGTGTCAGTCTTTAGGTTGTGTGTTTGATCCTCAGCTGATGCTGAATTGTCTGACAATCTTATAATGTGTCGGTTTCTTACAGTTTGAAGGCTAAAGTCCAACTTTAAATATTTGAGAAAAATTTCAGATGCTCATGTTTATTTATTCAGTAATCCTCTGTTTCTAATCCAGATCAGCCCAGAACCAGGCAGGAGGTAGACTTACTAACTGGTGCTGGTCAGCTGGAGCGGACTGCACTCGTAGCTGCAGAGCCTTCAAGGATTCACCGGCTGAGTTGACTGTTTGTTGGAAGGGACACTGCAGCTGCTGTGTCAGCCACTGGAGGGCGCTCTGGCATTGTTGACTTCAGGAGGACTGCTGGAACTACGGAAGAGTCTTCAGGTTGATCCACTTTTCAGTTGTAATGTTGGTGAACACAGTTTATTTATCTTTTATATCACTACTAGTGTATATTCTGTAAACACATAAATAACACAAGAGATCCAAAATGCAATTCACCTGCATGTATAAAACTCTTTAATTCATGAATAAAATATATTTAATGTACATTAATATTCAATAAATAACTCCACTCTGTTCCTCAGTGAACTTTCTAGTCAAGAGTTCTGAGTTAAGTTAACATTTATCAGTAATCAACAATAAGTAATGAACTGCTTTAATATGAATTCATGTTAAGTGTTGCAGTTCTTCACTCTGACCACTGGAGGCTCTTCATTGAACTGAACTCTATTATATTATTAGATTTTAATTCTTATATTTATCTTTTACAGAGAAACATAAACAATTACATACAACATGTTCGACATGAATTTCTGTCTGAAACTTGAGTAAGTCCGCTAAATTTTTACATTTGGTGCAACATAGCAGAAGATTAATAAGGATATAAATAAATATATCATTAAATATTCATCTCTTTCACCTACTTAGGTTACTCAGGTTAGTTCAGAATAAAAATAATGACGACTACCCAGACATATCAATCATATATTAGCTATAATATACAATAATATATATATATATATATATTTTATATATATATTTTCTAACGTGTGTCTGTATTTCATTATCCTTCACTTGGAGGAAGAGGATCCTCCTGGAGCCCCAATCTGGACCAGGAGGACCCACCAGAGTTCAGGACTGATCCATTCAAACCTGTGGTCCCTGTAGTTCTGCTCTTTATGGTCAGTATGTCTCAGTCTCACTGTTTATTTTATGTCCTCAACAAATGTATATTAACTTATTGTATAAGTATGAATACCTTGTTGTGTGAGCTGTATTTTACTAAAGATGGTTGCTATTATCCACTAACATTATTCACATTTCAATGGATTCTTCCTCACCTTTATATATATAAACTTCCCTCTCACCCTCTTGGGGTGGTATCTGTGTGTCATCCTCAAGCTCGGGTCCTCTACCAGAGGCCTGGGAGTTTGAGGGTTCTGCACAGTATCTTAGCTGTTCCTAGGACTGCCCTTTTCTGGACTGAGGCTTCTGATGTTGTTCCTGGGATCTGTTGGAGCCACTCCCACAGTTTGGGGGTCACTGGCCCGAGAGCTCCTACTATATATATATATATATATGATCATATGACTGTTTTTTTTTCATACAGCAAGGCTGGTTTGGATGTGTGCACCATGGTTCAACTGGAGGTTAATGCAGCTCAAAGTAGTGATGATTTATTGTGTGTTTGATGGTTGCAAGAGGACTGCTGCTGACACACTCTGTGGGAACTATGGGTTATAATTGGGTTTGGAGGCTGAGCTGCTTGAATCAATGTGTTTATCTAGAGATTAGTCTAATATCAGTACGTAGCTAGCAAAGGTAACAAACATATTTCACATTAATTACCCCTCGTTTAATGCATTCAACTAAACTGCTGCCTGTCGTCGTTGTTTTACTTTGAAAGGTTTTACCGGAAACATGTGTATGGTGTTGTGTGTTTCTGTCTTTACACTGCTGGAGCTGACCGCTGACACGAGTGTATTTAGAAACATGTGTTTGCTGCCCTCCAGTGGTCATTGAGGAACTACAACACTACAATACATCTGTGGTTTATTACAAAGATTCAAGGTTATTTTATTTATACTTATATAGAATACATATTGATTGCTTCGAGTTCAATCACGCCTGAGCTCTGATCATTGAGATGCGGCTCAGAGAGGCTAACTCTCCGGTATGTGTGTGTGCGCCTGTAGGGGGACTGTCAGTGCATGGGATCAAGGTAAACACTGCAGTTGTGCCAAAATTGAAAAATGAAGAACAAACAGAAATCAAAGAATAGAATAGAAATAGAATAGAAATAAAATACAATATCACAGTAAAAATATTATTAATATTATTAATATTAGAAGATATAAAAACTATAACTTAAAGTATATACACTATTTGTTGTTAGGACATCGAGTCCAAAATATAAGCAGAAAATTAAACTTGACTAAAACTAAAAAAAATAAAACTAAACTAAACTACTAAACTACTAAAGTGGAAATGAAATATAAATAGTGCAAAAGGTTTGTGCGTTGTAGGTAGGAGTTCTAAACCAGTCTTTATCTTCTGGTTGGAGGAACTGGGAGCTGTGGCGTTGTGGAGTCTGATGGCAGATGGTACAAATGAGCCTCCAAACCGCTTTGAGGCTCAGGGTCAGTCTGTAGCTGAAGATGCTCCTGAGCTGCCTCAGCTCAGCGTGGAGAGGGATTCAGGGATTACTCAAGTTAGATTGTGAATAAAATAACTTTAAAAAAAAAAAAAAATTATTTTATTAAACATGCATGTAGCTAACATCCCTCCCAACCTCTATGGCTCCACTGTTGTGTGCAATAGAGGTTGCATGACAATCATTCCAAAAGTCTAGTTATACCAATGAAAAACTGACACAAATAAAGTTTAGATAAATAGAAGATATGAGCAGGTGTATTGTTCCTTAGTGTACATAAGGAGGCAATAAAAAAGCAAGAAAGCATCAAACCATAAAATGTGGCATTTTTTGAGCAAAAGATAAGATCCAGATGTCTTGAGAGAATAAAATGATGAAATAATTTTTATCAAGCAATTATTGCGAAAACATTGTGAAAACATCGGCTGCAGCAATCATAAATAAAGTTAGTCATCATGAATGCAGGGTGTAGAAGGAAGTAAGTATGTATGTTTCGTGCAAACACAAAACCAAATCTAACCCATCTGACTGGTGGAGGGGAAGAAGATAAGAGAAAGAGGGACATGGTACCACCC